CACGCTCTTTGCGGAAACCACACTGTGTCTCAGGTAGTAGACCCTGTTCCAGATGGTCAATCAGGCGATTTAGCAACACTCGTGCAAAGATCTTGCCTGCGACGGAGAGAAGTGATATTCCTCTATAATTATCGCAGACTTGTCGATTTCCTTTCCTCTTGTAGAGGTGCACGATGGACGCGTCTTTCAGTTCCTGAGGAATGGAACCTTGTTTCCAGAAAGACCAGAACAGCTGGGTGAGTTTTTCAACAAGCACAGCACCACCAGCCTTATAGACTTCCACTGGGATTGCATCAGATCCTGGTGCCTTACCACTGGAACACTGACTGATGGCCTGTGAGGTTTCAGCCTCTGATGGTGGGACATCCAGGCTATAGTTGATATCCACCTGGGGTATTCTGTCGATCGCCTCATTATTGATGGTGGATGGGCGATTCAGTACAAAGTGGAAATACTCAGCCCAACGCTGTAAAATCAGATTCCTCTCAGTGATGAGAGTTGCACCACTCGAATCCAATAAAGGGGAGCTTCTTGAGGGCTGAGGTCCATACAGGGATCTAAGAGCTTCATAGAACCGTTTGGCATTGTTTCTATCAGCAAACTTCTGGATTTCATCTGCTTTGGCACTCAACCAGGAGTCCTGCATCTTGCGGAGCTTGCTCTGTACAATCCTGCGAGTATTAGTAAAAGCATTTTTCTTTGCAGTTGAAGACGGGTCATTCTGATGAGCACGGTAGAGATGGTGTTTTTCAGCAAGCAAGGCCTTAATCTCTTCATCGTTTTCGTCAAACCAGTCCGGCTGCTTCCTATATGAAGGTCCAAGAACCTTAAGTGCAGAAGAGTGCAAGATGTCCCGGAAGTTTATCATTATCGATAGTCCTTATAGACAGGAAGGCTGTGCAGAGAGTGGAGAGGACAGCAGAAAAGATTATTGGATGTCACTTCCTTCTATTCAGGCCATAACATATAAGCGCTGCTTGATAGGGTCCGCAATATTGTAAGAGATGCTACATGTCCTCTCCATGACTGGTTTTGTTACCTTCTGGGAGGAGGGTTTGTGGTATCCAAAACAGAACAACTAGATTCTGTAATAGCTTTGTACTATATAGTATCAACCTTGTTAAAACCTCAAGACTCTTTTTTCTGCTATGTATTCAAAATGGACTGTGATTAATATATATTTATATATGTATAGATATGTGTATGTATGATGTATGTATGTGGTTATATATGTACATATATGTATGTGTATGTATGTATGTATATGTATATATAGCATATGTATATGTGTATAGGTATGTACCATATTTATTTTGTTTTGAGAGCAGGCATCAGAATTTCATTTTAATGTGTGTCACTGTGCACACAGAAAAAAGTGACAAAAAAGAGACAGTAAAGGTTATCTTATCTTATCATAACTGAGCTCAGAATTTTTGTGGTGAGTCATATGCATGTGTCTTAATTTTATTTTATAATCATTTTTACAATGGTCATAAAGCAAGTCACCACAGTTAAATGAATCATATTAGTTGTTAAATGAAGCCATTCTCCCAAATAGGTATTTAAATGGTGGAAACTGGTAAAAAACAGCACAAATTGGAGTCAAAGACATGCTGCACCCAGTTGTAGATGTGAGCCAGTGCCAAGTGCCTGAAATGCTATCATGTGACAGGAGAGGGAACTCCTGTAGTCATAACTTTGAGGACAAGTCATAAGTACATTTTTCCTTTTTGTTGTAACTTTGAATAGTAGTTAAGTGACCAGTCATTAAACAAAGATTACCTATAGTCATAAGGCAAATTATTTGAATATAGGGAATATTTTCCATGTACCAGAAGGCACTACTTTAAACCGGGACATTAAAAAAATCCCACCTGTGCTGGAAACGTGTCTTGTCAATAAGGCAAAAAGCTAGTGTAAAATTTCTTTTCACAGTCCCTAAAGAAGGTATTTTGGAGGCTAAGATTAAAATTCTTTAGCATCATTTTTATTTGCAAAAAATGCCCTGGGCGATAGGTAGGGCCCTAGACAAGACCTAGAAGTATTTTTTTGACATGAGCAATCATGTCTAGGGTGGGAGGATGGCAGTGACTTAGAGACAGCATCCACTCTAGAAAGGGGTGGCAAGAAGAACTGACCAGTTTGCCTTTGGATAAGCAAGTGTTTTCCACTGGTCACATCCATCATGAGAACCCATTTGAGATCACTGAAACTCCAGGCACCATTTTGTGAAGTACCACAATTGGATCCAGCAAAGCCATTGCTAACTGAAACTGCAAATGTTTTTATGGTCTAATTCTAGCTTTTCTTTTACAGACCTATTAAGACCCTACATTTAATGATTAGTTGCAAAGTTACTTTTTCATTCCAATGTACCAACATACTATTGCTAAATGAGACAGTCACAACATGAGAACTATCTGTATCACAGTATGTTCTAAAAAATTCAAATTTACCAACAGGCTTATCTCTAAGTCAAAACATACAATGTTAAAACTTAGGACTTAGTAGTTAATACAAAAAGTTTATATCCTCTTCCAAGAACTTGTTTGTGTTTTAAGATATATATTGTTTACTTATTTTTACAGAATGCTAACTATAGCTATATTCCACTGGGAAAAAATATACCTTCCACATTCCTTATATACTCTCCACCTCCATAAGTTTAGCAAATTGGAATGTCAGGAATGGTGAAGACAACAGAGATGGCTGTAGCATAGAAAATATGGCTCCCTATGTTTGGATAGATTATCACTAGACATTAATTTTATCATGATATCACAGAAACATACCATGTTTTCCCGAAAATAAGACCTGGTCTTTTTTTTTGCCTCCAAAAGAGACATCAGGTCTTATTTTTGAGGGGTGTCTTATCCACTCATCTCGTGGTGGTGGTACTGACAGCCCCACCCAGCCGGCCCACTTCTGCGGCTGAAGGAAATGCCTCTGTAGCTAAGAATGGCGCTCTGGCCTGCATTTCGCCATCAGAGGCCTTTTGGAAGGCCTCTGACGGTGAAATGCAGGTCGGGAGATGCCACAGAAGAAGTGGACTGGCAAGGAGAGGCAGCTGTCAATTCATGGGAGGCCTGGCTGCAACAGTAAGTGGGTGTAAGGCCCATGGGGCAGCTCCACCCTCCCCAACCATGCCTTAGCTTGATTTTTAGGTGTGCGCATCACCCCAAAACTAGGGTTTATATTAGGCCCACCCCCAAAAATCAAGCTAGAGCTTATTTTGGGGATAAGTCTTACACAGTATATTTGCTTATTTTCCACAGTAACGTATAACATTACTTATCACCAAAACTCCATTACTACTTATACTGGATAAACTGGTCAAAAGCTATTCAAAAGACAAAACAGACCTACATTTCACACCAGAAATGACAACACCAAAAACCAGTAGGTAGAGATTTCAGTGTCCCAAGGCATACTCAATGTGCCTATCCTTGGGAATGAAACTTGCTTTCAGACTTCAATAAAAATTCATAAACTCAAGCAGAAATCTGGCAGAAGGAATACAAAGTTGCAAAATTGGAGAGGTGGGCAGAACCACACTTAATTGATGAGCTTGTTCCTATTTAGAAAAAAATACTCACATTAATATACCTATTAATCCATACCTGGAACATTCAGCACGTTACCAAATGACAATATATTAAGAGCCACTGCAATCTCATCTGAGAGTAATATAGTCATTATGGAGAACCCATACTTAATGTTCCATCTGGCTTTTCTTTCCTACATAATGATGGAAGGAAATTATCCTTTGTTCTGTACTCTACAGTAGACAATAATTTATGTCCTCAGATTGCTCAAGCAAGGTCCTTGACTATATAATTTCCCATAGAAAATCACCTTTTACTTATTTACCAGTATTTGGCTTTCTAAAGCCTACTCCCATTACAAAATCTTTGATCTTGCAGAGAGCAAAAGGGCATTATTCTAAAGAGCAGGATTACTTTAAATGGAAGGTAAAGAATATATATATTACTTTTCCAATTACTAGAAATGGCTAATTTAAAAGGCTGATTTAGAGCTGCAATGGATTAAAGTAAGTAGAACTGGATTAAAAGGAGCAATTATTAAGGACTGCATGGAAATATAAGAAAAACATATAATTGATTTCAATATTTATTTCTAATACAGAGTTCCTTTTTAAAGACAATATATTTTGAAGGGTAATTAGAACTCATAGCCAAAATAAAGCTGCTCTATTTTTACTCCTATTGAAATCTGGACAATAATAGTTCTGTGTTGAACCATTATGCTACCATGATGAAGTGGTTTCAAATAACCTGCTTTTGTCTACATTGTCATTTATTTGTTTTTCATACTGGTGATAACATTTCAGATTAGTGCAAGGAAGGACATCTGGAAGAAAAACAAATGTATTAGGCAAAAATGAAATGAAAATGCTGGCAAGGTTTTAGAGAAAAAGTGATTATACCTTTATTTTAAATAAAAGTATTCTAAATTTGTAACTGGCTGACAAACCGTACTCAACGAGTACTCCTTAATGGTACTACATCTACATGGAGGGAAATAAGCAGTGGGGTACCACAAGGTTCTGACTTAGGTCCAGTACTCTTCATAAATGACTTAGATGAGGGAATAGAAGGGGATCTCATCAAATTTGCAGATAATACTAAGCTGACAGGAACAGCCAACATCCCAGAACACAAACTCAGGATCCAAAAAGATCTTGACGGATTTAAACAATGGGCACTATCCAACAAAATTATATTTAATGTAGAGAAAAGCAAGGTTTTACACCTGGGTAGGAAAAACCAAAGATACAAGGATAGATTAGGTGAAATCTGGTTCAAAAACAGTAACTGTGAGAGGGACCTTGGAGTCCTAGTGGACAATTAAACATGAGTCAGCAGTGTGTCGCAGCAGCCAAAAAAGCTAATACAATCCTTGATTATATAAACAGAGCATAGAATCAAAATCACGTGAAGTATTTGTACCACTTTATAAAGCCTTAGTAAGGCCACATCTGGAATACTGCATCCAGTTTTGGTCACCACATACAAAAAAGACGTTGAGACTTTGGAAAAAGTGCAAAGAAGAGCAACTAAGATGATTAAAAGCCTGGAGACTAAAACATATGAAGAACTGTTGCTGGATTTGAGAATGGTCAGTCTAGAAAAAAGAAGGACTAGGGAGGACATGATAGCAGTATTCCAGTATTTGAGAAGCTGCCACAAAAAGGAAGGGGTCAATTTATTTTCCCAAAGCAGCAGAAGACAAGACAAGAAAAAATAGATGGAAACTTCCTAACAATGAGGACAATTAACCAGTGGAACAGCTTGCCTTCAGACATTGTGGGTGCTTCATCACTCAAGGTTTTTAAGAACAGACTGGACAGCCACTTGTCTAAAATGATATAGGGACTCCTGCTACAGCAGGGGGCAGGACTAGAAGATCTCCAACATCCCTTCCAGCTCTATTCTGATTATTATTATTAAAATAAATGTCCATCATCAGTCTGAAGAAGGAGCACAACCCTTGAGAGAAGAACCAAGTTTTATTAAACCAAGAAAGAGGGATATGAACAATGGAAAAGCGAAGATATTTACAGACATTGAGGGCTATAAGGTGGAAATCCTACAAATCTGATTTGCTGTCCAATCTCCATTTTGTTTTTTAATTTTTTTCTCCATTAAATTTCAGTTTAGTCTGATCACTGCAAAGGCAGTTTTAGAACAATTTGGAGCAGAATAGATAATTAGCTTGGTTACTGCTATTTGGAACTCAGATGTACCAATATATCAATTAAAAAAACCCTGAAAATATATGGTTTCTTGTATTACTGCTTGTTTTTACTTATTCAATGTAAGGATAATCATATACTCAGCATGCAAT